ATTTTTAGAATATATAAAATTATTATTTCAATATTTAAATTATTATAAAATCAATATCTATGGTTTTATAAATCCAAATTTGATAAATAAAATATTCAGAGATTGCGAAGAACTCAAGTAACAAGTCTAAAAATTATATATTATTAAAATAAACAACATTAAATACTTTGATAGGAAAATGATCTATATAGTCTAGGAATAAATATCCATCGGGGCACTCCATGTCCCACTGTGAACTATAAACCACACATGCTTTCTCAATCCGACCCAGCATTGCTCATGACTCACAGTCCATGCATGGGATCATTAGTGGGTTACCAAAGTCTAGCCAATAGGCAAGAAGTTGCAGTCCCAGTATATGAATTTCAGATCTCCCCTTGGAGACGAAACCAAGGTCATCCTAGCTTGATGCAATCCATTGCTTGATGGTGAACATGGTGTATCTCTTGCATATGCACACGTTTCACCCTAAAAAGTGGTTCGCATTCCCGAAAATGACTATCAATGTGCATGCGGTGTGATGGTACAAATGATGAGGCTTTGGCCTCATCTATGAAGGCCTCCATCATACACAATGGTCACATAGTCCCCCAGCTCACTCTTTCGAGGATACTCCAACTTCATTAAGGGATAGCATATCTAAACCTTATGGATTTGTTTCTCAATGCCTAGGTAGTATGAGTGTTCCACAACTAGACTGACCTAGCACGTTAAGCACAGTCTAATATCAACAAACATTATTTACTTAATATGGTCCACACGGGACCACACTTGCACTGAGTTCAAGTTCCACTATATAATTATTTTGCATGCACTCATAAGACCTTTTTCCTTAGTATAAAATTAAGGACAAGCTTTCTATGCCTCCCCTACAACATGGAAGTTCTATTCTCCCCCTTATCGAACCATCCATTCTAATGGAGGGCTAATATTGCCCCAATCACAATGTCACGTCTCTACACTATTTTATTTTTAATTTTTTTCTATAAACTATTTTGATACCAAATTTTGAACGTCCATTCTTCTATTAAACTGATACTAGCAGAAAAATATATATTTTTTTTCAATAAAATAAAATGACTAAAATACATCTGAAAGTTTCAAGGGCTATTTTGGTTATTATATTTTATCGAAAAAATTATTTTTAAGATTTTTTATAGATGCGCCCCAATGAGAAATTGGCATGTACCAAATTTCATATTCATACAATTTATATAAAAAAAAACTAAAAATAAAAACAAAATCAAACGGTGAATGGCTCTCTTGATCAAAATTGAACGGCTGGATGGTAAGGAGAGGATATAACTTCTATGCTATAGGGAAGCATAGAAACCTGTCCCTAAATTAATTTGTGTCGCAACTCTAGAGTCCTTGATTTTGGCCGGGCCACTTTGGATTCCTTCCTTGATTATGTATTCCGTCCCTAATTTTGTATTGGGATTTGGATAGGGACAAGACAATCCAAAGCATTTTTAAATAGGTAATAGGAAATCCCTCTTACAATTTTCAAAAGAGGGGATATAAATGTTTATAGATGATATTGATGAAGTTGGTATTCTTCAAACGGCGCGGTTATAATTTAATCCTAATTTTTATAAAATACATAATCTTTAAAGATGATGAAGGCCAGGCCTGCACATATAGAAATACGGGCTTGGCAATAAATATATATTTTTGAATATAATTTAATCCTAATTTTTATAGAATATATAATCTTTAACATCGAGATCATGAATATGAAAAAAAAAAAGATTGAAAACTAAAATTATATTAAGAAAACATTTGAACAATTAGTTACGAATTGCTTTTAAATGGACCACCTATTTGCGTCGGATCTTTAAGATAGATGCTTTATACTTCTAGACCGCCGCATATTGTAGAAATGCGATCCAGCCCGCATAAAATAATCGTTCTTCTTCAAATTTCGAGGTCTTTTTCTAGTAGAGGTGACTAGCATGTTGGTGGCAACTAGAGCATTTTTAAATGCGATAGCATCTCTATCTTTTATTTATTTGATTGGAAACTCTTGACTACTATTGTTTAGCTAGTTGTTAATTTGGTTGACCTCATGCCTGATATTTTATTTCCCACAAGTTAGCGTAGGGCCATGTTCTTATGAGAAAAGGTAGAGCTGTCCCTAAAATCCATTCAGAAAATGTAGTTAATGACACCCGGAACTCAAAATCAATTTATGCAACGGAAAATAAAGTGGGAAAAAGACAAATGCCCCTCTTACTATAAGAGAAAGGAGGATAGGTATGAGAAAGGAAGCCAGGAATGGGGTAGAGGTGCCAACATCCGGACTTGCCCGGCCCAAAAAGCCCGACGTGCTTGGGCCACCTTTGACCCAGTTTGGCCTAGCCTGGAGCCCTGGACTGGGACGTAGATTAGGGAATGTTCATGCGTGTAACACTTATAAATTATTGCGGAAAGATATATACTCCCACTATAATTGTAATTCTAAATAAATGTTTAAATCTATGAAAAGCCCACCGACCCCTGATTAAAAGAAAAAAGAAACTTTAACCCTCTCTTTCCCTTTTTTATTGTTTAAATAATAATATTTATTTTTTAACAATTGTTTTTTTTATTCAAATGATGGGGCTAATATTAATTATTTACTTATTTTATAACCCCATTATCTGAATAAAATTTGGGATGCCACTTCAAACTATTTGGGTGTTCAAGAGAGATAGATACAGGGGATCATGGGAGGTCAAAATAAAGAGGTGGAAGGAAGAGAGAAAGAGGGGTTGCTTTACTAGGGTTTACATTACAAGACAAGTAAAAAAATGAGAAAAAACGAATATTGTGATTTGGACCAACAAAAGGTACGCATAGGTTTAAATGTTGCTTTTTTTAATTTAGAGGGGCCCATGGAACGTAAAGTCTATTTTGAATCACAATCAAAGGAATAGGTATTTATCTTTTGTCTTAAATTTATTTATTTTGGGTTGCAGTTTGTACAAAGGCTCTAAACAATCAAATTAGAACCTACTTTCAAATAGTATCGAGAAATGTAGTTTCAATACTAAAAATCTTTGTGATAGCTTTAAAATATATTTTTATCTTTATTTATAAAGTTTAAAGCTTAAAAAATAGTGTAGATCGACAAATCTATGAAAACTTGAAAATCTTGAAAATGGACTGTCCAAAAATGTGTTACAAAATGTACTATTTCCAAAACTTGAAATTCATTATATTCTTATGTCTATACACCTTGACGTTGAGATGATCAATTTGAAGATATTTGGGCATCAAAACAACCTCTTCTAATGAATTTTTTATTTGTAGGCTCCAATTTGATTGCTTAGAGCCTCAACTCTATATAAACTTTTCCCTTTATTTAATAAAGTCTATTTTGAATTACAAAGGAACGGGTATGTCTTTTGTCTTAAATTTATTTATTTAATAATTCCTTTGAGAAAGAAAAATTAAGGAGAAACATTGAGTTGGGCTTTAACCTAGACTGCCCCCTGGGGCAGCAAAGGCCAGGCGCAAGCTCGATCTCTAGGCCATTTTTATGGCTGTGGTGGCTTAGATCATTTAGAGCTGGACTTTCCCGTCGGGTAGGGCACTCCGCCCCTTGCCGGCCCGAAAGAAAGAGAGCGGTTTGGTTGGTCGTGCCGGAGCCACTGGTCCAGAAGGGTACTCGCCCCATCGCCAACGCGAATTAACGTGAGAAGAGAGAGAGAGAGTATAAGTGAGAGCAATGTTCCAAAGCACTACTTGGGCAAGTACTCAGGCCCATGCTCGATATTCGGGGCGAGTACTACAGCATTAAAAAAATTATTAAAAAAATGTATGTTTAAAGTAATATTAAGCAAACCATATCAAAATAAAGTTAAATACGTAGTAAAAAATAAAATTTTAAAAATAAACTTGTGATTTAGTGTATTTTTGAAACAATCTAAAAAAGTGAGAAAAACGTAAAAGTTAATATTTATAGCCAAAAATACTTTCCAATCTTAAATAGAAATATAAAAAATATATCATAAATAAATTTTTTATTTTATAATTTTTTAAATTTTTTAATTTTTTTTAATATCTCCAAATGAGACACTCAACTTGGTAAAACTCGACCCCGACAGGACCCAAGTACTCGGGACTCGACCGAGTAATCAAACATTGAATGAGAGAGGGGTTGGGTCAATGGCATTGAAGAAAAAATCCGGTAGTCTAACTGATAATCGTCAAGTTAGATCGGAATAATCGTCAGGTTAGATCGGAACTGATTAGTTTCGATGATCGTTGATATTTTTATTTTTAAAAAAAAATGATATAAAATCCTAAAAAAATAAAAAATTTTATTCGTAATACATTTTTTTTCTTGTTTTTCACCGCTATGGTAAAGATTGGAAATTGTTTTTGCTATTAATACTTATTTTTATATTTTCATATTTTTAATCCATTTAACCGGTCCGATTTGATTTTTGGGATACAAAAGCGGCTGTGAGCGAGTTGGTGAGAGCCCGAGAACATAGGGAAGAGTGGGAGAGGGAGAGGGAGAGGGAGAGAGAGAGAAAAGAAAGAGGACGGAGAGGGAAGAGAGAAAAGAAAGAGGAGAGAGAGGGAAGAGAGAGAGGGGAGCATCACGTGTTGGGCACGTAGCTTTTAAGTGGTTGTAACGCATCGCCTAAGGATGGGTTCGTCTTCTACCTACAAACCCGAGGATTCTCATTCTCTCTCTTCTCTCTCTCTCTCTCTCTCTCACATTACAACGCAATCACCTTCTCTTTCTCTCTCTACCCACTCTCTTTCTCACTCTAAGTTCCTTAACAACCCTCCCCTATTTGTCTCCGAAGTTTCTGCGATGAGCATCTGACCGTTGATGACCAGATCGACGGCTACTAATCCTCCTTTTGCTAAGATCCTAACCAAGGTTAAGTTAACGAAAGTTAGATGCCCCATGAATGGTAGTTGCCCGCCCTCTACGAGGTTTCTTGTATATCGCTTTCGGAAAAGCCTACTCTCTCTCTCTCTCTCGTCCCTTTTCTTCTCTCTTAAAACGCTCATCTCTCTCTATCTCTCTCCCATGTAACCATTATCTCTCTCCTCTCTATCTCCATCTCTCTCTTATGTAACAATTATCTCTCTCCTTTCTCTCTTACTATCTCTCTCTCATATATATATATAAAAGTCAGGTCCTGCTTCCTCTCTGCTTGCTATCATCTCTTCTTCTCTACAGGTTTGTTATTTTTCATGTCTCTGTATTCTTCTTTTTTGATCTCTTCCTTTGCTTTTCTTTTCTGTTTTTGTCTCTCTCTGGTTTTGATCTCTTATTTTGATTAAAATTTGCTTTTCATTTTTCTATTGAATTTCTATTCCTTTCTGGGTTTTTGGTTTTGTTTGTATTTACAGGTTTCTCTCTCTGGTTTTATTGATCCTTTATTGCGTCCACATTTCCTCATGGGTTTTCTCCTCCTCTCTCTCTCTCTCTCTCTTTCTTTCTCTCTTCCCCTCCCTCTGGTTTTGCTGTATCTCAAATCCATCAAGTTTTTTTTATACCAGCCTATTGACTACAATCTATGGTTGTAAATTGAATTTTTTCCGCCATGAAAACTAAATATGAAAGAAAAAAAAAAGCTGTTTTTTTGGGTCTTTGTGATTTCTTTATTTCTATCTAATTCAAGGATCCACAACATGGATTTTTGCAGGCAAAAACCTCAACATGGGTCAAAAAGTGGTTCTTCTGGTCTGTCTGATACTATGGGCTTCGCTCGCTTCCCTAGCCCTGGCTTCTTCCGGTAATGGCCTGGTTAGAATTGGCTTGAAGAAGAAGAGTTTGGACCCCAATAGTTTGCTTGCTTCTCGCATAGCAGCAGGAGATGGCAAGGCTTCAAAAACTCAACCTCGCAAATTTTGTGGCCTTAGGGGCAACACGCTCAACTCTGATGAAGACATTATTTCTCTCAAGAATTACATGGATGCTCAGTACTATGGAGAAATCGGAGTTGGGTCACCTCCCCAAACCTTCACTGTGATTTTTGACACAGGAAGTTCTAATTTGTGGGTTCCTTCATCGAAGTGCTATTTCTCGGTGAGTCAGTGTCCCCAAGCTTTGATTTTTATGTTTATTTTTTTGGATAGTTTTCAATCTGTTTTTTCTGTTTGATAAGTTTTCAAGCTTGGATTTTTCATTGAATTTTCTTTGAAATTATTCAATTTCTCCTGAGTCTGCAATTTAACGGAAGTCATAGGAAGATGAGGACGTAATGGAGAGCTATCGTTTTCTTTCTTTTTGTTCAATTTTAGTTTGGATAAGGATTAATTTTAGGAAGATAGGGATATTCTTTTGACATTTTCATTGTGCTTATGGAAGTCTTTGGAAGATGGTGACATTCCAGAAAGCTTTAGTTTCATGGATTTTTTTGTTAATTAGTTCGGCTGAGATTTTGGAGACTTAAAAATTTCTTTAGATGAGATTTTGAAGACTAACAATTTCTTTGGATGAGATTTTGAATACTAAACATTTATTCTATTAGGGCTATATTTGGGGAATGATTTTGTGGTTTTTTGTGAGAACTGATATGTTCAGATTTTTTTAAGTTGAAGTTATTGGGTTTCTTCATTTGATATCAGGTGGCTTGCTATTTTCATTCCAAATACAAGGCTTCCAAATCAAGTTCTTATAAGGAGAATGGTATGTTTATTTACCCTCTGATTTCTTCCTTGCTTCTCTACTTTTGTCATGCGTTATGCATTCAGAATGTCTTTCATGTTTTGTAACAGTATATAAATACTCTAGTTTATATACTCTAGAGGTCGTCCTAAGGCTTTGCTTTAGGAAGTTTGGCTATAGCTGACTTTCAATTCTACATGCTTGTAATCAAGCTTGTTTTCAACTCTCTGTCGATTCTATATGCTCACGACCAAGTTTTGTTTGATGAGCCTCACTTATATATTATTTGAACTGTTTTCATGAGCTTAACAATTTGGTGTTGCCAGTGAGAACGGTAGTTCTAGTGTTTCTTTAGAATTATCTTATCTTCCAGCTTAATGATCTGGTACCTTTCTTTTGTCTTTGTGTTGGAAGATGCAAGTGTCATCCTAAATGTTGTAGTTGACATCTTATTTCAGGGTTGTGTCTATTATATCTGTGCAATTGTTACTTGAGATTTGCATCTGGATGCTAGCATTTTTTCTATTTTCGTGACATGTTAGAATTTCAATGGCATCGTCTCATTGATGTATTTTATTTTTACCCTGTGAGTTTTTGGAGTGCTGAACTAATTGTTTACTCTCCCTTGTGTAGGAAAATCCTGTGAGATACACTATGGGACTGGGTCAGTTTCTGGCTACTTGAGCCAGGACCATGTTCAAGTTGGTGATCTTGTCGTGAAAGATCAGGTCTGTTGATGTATTAAATTTATTTGTCGGTGTTTGGATATCCAGAGTCATTTATTTCTGCAATACCACATGAGGTGATTTCACATTTTTTGTGTGATACTGTTTCTTAGGTTTTCATTGAAGCTACAAAAGAACCGAGTATTACCTTTTTGGTAGCCAAGTTTGATGGAATACTTGGACTTGGATTTCAGTCGATCTCTGTCGGGAATGTTGTACCCGTATGGTATGCTTCACCTTTAAAATATGCTATTTCTAGCAACCTTAAAAGAAAATTCTCTTATAAGTTCTTCATTTGATGGGTTACCTGCTTCTTTTCGGCGGTTTTTAATCAGATCAGCAACCATTGAAAATTGGCAATCAAATGTTTGATTTCTTAGGTTCTGAAACTGATTTATGGATGATGATTATAGGTATAACATGGTTAAAAAAGGGCTTGTGAAAGAACCCATCTTCTCTTTCTGGTTTAACCGAAATGCCCAGGATGAAGAGGGTGGAGAGATTGTGTTTGGAGGTGTTGATCCTAACCACTTCATAGGAGAGCACACCTATGTTCCTGTGACACAAAAAGGCTACTGGCAGGTCATTTCAGTGATTATTTTTGTGTTTCAGATACAGGTATTATGTTTTTGTCGGATGTTGATTTTTGTTTGGTTCTTATGTTTCAGTTTGACATGGGTGATTTTCTCATTGGTGGCAAATCAACTGGTACATGTTTCTCTGTCTAAACAAGCATTTCTCTTTTCTCAAACTCTAACTTATACACTTCTATTACACATTTAATTGCGGTCTAATGCAACAGAGTCTTTGTTTCAGGTTTCTGTGCCAACGGTTGTGCAGCAATTGCAGACACTGGAACTTCCTTGATTGCCGGACCAACTGTAAGTATTTTATTAGATTAACCATGTTAATAAAACTATTGAGATGGATTCCGTTTTCATACTTCTATTTTTGTTTGATTTGTCATCGTTTGATTGACTTAAATATATTGTCTATTTATGAATTGTTTTAGGAGAACAAAATATTGAAAGTTCGCAACAGAATGTAGTGTCCTAAGAAGTATCATTTTATTGTTTTACTAGACTTTCTAGAGGATAAAATAGACTTGAGCATGTCTATGTTTCTTTTATTGTTTATAGTTTACTTGATTGTCCATTGTGGTATTGGGGACAAAGATGTATGCCTCTCTCTTAATAAAATTATACTTGTCTGCTAGTGCATTAGTTAAGAAATAATACAATCTTGCAAGAACATAATTTAAATAATCACTGTAAAAATAGTTCCGCAGCGAAAATAAGTTGGCTTAGTGCAAAATTTGCTTATGCTTGGTTTGGGAATGCCACATCGTAACATTGTTAATACATTAGGTGTGGTGCTCTAATGCATGTTTTTATTTGCAATAAAAGATGAAAAGAGGGAGGGACCCCTTTCTGACTAGAATTTAGATGTCTCCTCCAATGAGATATGGCAAAACATACCATGTTGACCACCAGCACAATCTCATCGAGTACTCTATATGTTTCTTTAGTTTTTGGGTGGGCGAGCCTTGTTATATTATGTTTACTTGGTTCTTTCTCTTAGTCATGCAAACAACACCTTTGTATATGTGAAGTTGAAATTCTCCACATTGCACTCCGGTTTGGTTCTGTATTGGTGTTTATCTTGTTATTATTGTATGAACTTTACCTCTTCCTGGCAATGGTATTGAGCTCGTCTTTGTTAACTTATACTTGGGGCCCTCAACCATACTGCTTTTATCTTTTTGCTATGCTAGTTATTAGTTTGTCTTAGTTAGTTACTGAAAATTATATTTGACCAATGTTCTACCCAACTTGCCCGAGTAACTCTGTGTGGCAGGTTGCATGGCCTGGGTCCCCCCTCACACCCCCCTTACCCTCCCAAAAAAAAAAAAGAAGAAAAAAAAAAAAGAAGAAAAAAAGAAAAGAAAAGAAAAGAGGAACTCCGGGTGATTTATATTTATTTATTTTTTGTAATTTTTAGATTTCTATATTTTTTAAAGATCTTTCTGTTTGCTCTATATTTTCTTATTTTTCTGAGTAAATGAACTTTTAAACAGTTTCATTTTTTTTATTATTTTTGAAAACTTTTTGTAATCTGTTGTGTACATCTTTTACTGTTTGTCATTTTCTTTCCTTTTTTCAGATTTAACAGAATTTTATGGGTTTTTATTTTTTGTTATAAATCACTTTTTTTTCTTTTTGCCTTTCTTCGAGGTCAGTTGGAACTTTGGGCAAGTTGACTCAGACTCACCCGAGTAACTTGGCCAGGTAGGTAGCTGAGTTCAGTTGCCGAGCCAAGTAAAAAAACATTGCTTTTAGCACATCATCGGGGGTTGGTGCGACATTGGTGCTTTATCTTGTTTAGAGAGTTTAGAGAGCTGTGGCTTTCCTAATTTTTATATCACTTATATTCTTCAGCCTATTATCACGGAAATCAACCATAAAATTGGAGCAGCTGGAGTTGTCAGCCAGGAGTGCAAAGCTGTGGTTCAACAGTATGGAGACAAGATAATGCAACTGTTATTGGCGGAGGTAACTATATGCAATTTCTATTTAGATAATAGAAGTTGGTGTTTTGCTGATTTGCTCACATTTGAACTTTATTAATAAGGTGCTATTTAATACTCATGATTTTCGCATTATACATGTTGGTATGCATACACAATTTCCATCTAGATAATAGAAGTTGGGTTTTGTTCATTTACTCACATTTGAACTTTTTTTAATGAAGTGCTGCTTAATACTCATGATTCTTCCGCAATACATGTTAATTGAACTTCTCCCACTCTTTGATGGTTTTCCCTCATTTGTGTAGGCGCAACCTCAGAAGATCTGCTCCCAGATTGGTTTATGTGAATTTGATGGCTCTCACAGTGTTGGGTAAGGGCTTTTTATTGTGGGAAAGTATACTATAATCTGTAGAACAAGTAAGTCCATATTCCGTTTTTCATTCATTGAAGTGATGGACGGTGATGGAGAGAGAAATGGATTCACCAGAACAGGACATGACCCCAATGGTTGTCCCACTTTCTTCTCCTCTACTGTCCATTGAAATGGATATTAAGGACTACTATGCCGTAGCGAGTGCGGTTATAGCATACATTCCTCTATATATCCATGTCAAATTTTGTGCCTTTTTCTTCTATAATAATTTTATAGCTAATGGACTCTGGTGAGCTGTATTAATATCTTGCTTATGGATTTGTGCAGCATGGGCATTGAGAGTGTGGTTGATATGAAGAATGGAGGGAAGTCATCACTGAAGACTGATTCTATGTGCTCTGCTTGTGAGATGGCTGTTGTCTGGATCCAGAATCAGCTTAAGCAGAACATGACACAGGATCGTATAATGAATTATATCAACGAGGTAATGTGTTATGGGTTTGCATATTATAGTCCAATGGAGTATGATGGACCTTACTCAGAAGGGGCATCCAATGTCCATTCCAGTGAATGAGTTGTGGAGATTAATGCCAGCTGTGATCATTCAACATATCAAGAGGGGGAAAAAAAAAGAGCTAGTGGGGATCATTATGACAATCACCAAGTATAGTTAATTTCCACCATTCATTCATTCATCACCAGGAAAAGGCGGCAGATTATGCTTTATAGTACTACTCCATTGGAGTTCATTTATTTAATTTTAGGAAGTGTGCACAATGGGAACCATTAGAATTCAGAAGAGCATGACCCATAATGATTGTGCCAACTCTCTAACATCCTTCATCATTTCAGATGAGGGCAATGATCCAGTGGATTTCGGTTTAACCATACTCCAATTCAGTTGTCATACACTTTACCTTTATATTGTTCTGCAAATAGGAAGGCATGTGATAGCTTATGGATTGTGTGTGTGTTGCAGCTCTGTGAGCGGTTACCTAGTCCCATGGGTCAGTCAGCTGTTGACTGTAATAAGCTGTCGTCTATGCCAAATGTTGCCTTCACTATTGGTGGTAAAGCTTTTGAGCTTACACCACAGCAGGTAAGCTCGATGTTACTGTGACTAATTTATCCATCCTTTCATGTGTATCATGTTCTTGGAAATGGAAGGTAGTTTTCCATAAGAACCCAAATGTGAAAACGAAAAAGGAGCAGAGGTTTCTTCGAGAAAAACAAGAATGAAGGTTAACTTGTGAGATTTTGTTTTTGTCAACTTAAAATTCCGCCATGTCTTTGATCTTTTAGATAGAATTGGAGACATATTTTAGAAAATCTAGAATGTGAATTTGGAGACTTGTTTTAGAAAATATAGAATGTGCTTCGAGTTATGATAGAAATATTGTTCAATACAAAGCAACTGATGATAAAAACTTCTAGATTTGGGGAACATCATTTTTCTTATATTCTTTTTCCTTATTTTTTTTGGGTTTTTGTTTTTGTAATATGGAATTTCTGGAGGATGAATACGTGCATGCTTCTGCCAGTAATTTGTATTCTGTTGCCACTCTTTGCTCTCTTTTTTGTAATATGGAATTTAATGTGTTGTTTATGGATCATAAGAAGTGAGATACTAGTCACAGTTTCTTATAGGTTTTTAAGTTTTGGTCAATGTCATTGTATGTTTGGGGCATGCTGGTTGAGTAAAGCTTGCAAAATGTTGATGTTTTGTATATTGTATGCTTGATCGATTGCAATCAGAGGAGCAATAGTAAATGAGCAAGAATAGTAGTTGAGTAAGAAAATTAAATTATGGAATTCAGGAAAGGGAAAATGTGATTAATGTAGTACAAGGATTGAAAGCAAATAGAGTAGTTGCATAAAATTGCCTTAAATGTTGGTTTTTGGTCTGCAAGCATTGGAGGAAAACTTTTGTGGTCCTCTTTTGTCTCTATTTATTCCATCGGTTTGTTTCATTTTAATGATTTTTAATGTGCTTTTTTTATGTAATTTGTATAATATCAAGGTGCGACCTTACAATTGCATTATATAATATATATATATATATATATATATATATAAGTNTATATAGCGTACGCCCTCACTACTAACTACTAACGAACGTTACGTACGGACGTACCCGGTACCC